AAATATTATATTTATATTTAATAACTGTGAAAATTAATTTCATGAGTTTAAAATTTAAAATTGTTTATTTGTTATTAATTTCATTGTTGTGTTATGGTGCACCACCTTCCCAACACATTTCTCAGTATGGATCTATTTTAAATGAAGAAACACGACATTTACTTTTATTAATTCAGGATCAAGGCGATGAATGGCTTCGAATTTTGAATATTCTGATAAACAGACTTAAGAGATTTCATAGCATTGGGGATCCTTTATTTATTACAACAGTAGAAGGTGTCAAAGAAGAAGCTACTCAACTGTTGAATGCAATTGATATATTAATAAAGAAAAAATTGGTTGAGAAACATGATATATTTTATTTATGTTTGTCGTTGATAAAGAATTTTGAAATGGAACCTATGAGTCACCACTGGACAATGATGAAAACAAATCAAAATATAATTAAACAAATTTATGAAACAACAGAAAGTAAAATTAAATACGTTTACAAAACAAGTTTAATCAGACAGATGATGTTTCCTGTGAGTTATTTCAATAAATTCAAAACTCTCTTATCATATTTGATGTCAATCCAAATATTTCGAAAAAATGAAATAATTTTTAAAAGTCAAGAAATGTTGGAAGTCTTTATTGAAGAAGCAATTAAGGCTTCAAAAGGTATTTTTAAAAAGTACAAAGTTGAAAAAAGTTTTGAAGAATTTGATCCAAGCATTAAAACGTTGGACATGTACAGAAAGGCTGGAGACGAAAGGGTGGCTTTGATTTATTCTCAAAAAGAGTTGAATGAATTACCACATAGACCGTTACCTTTGACTCCATTAGAACAATCAATTAAAAATGCTCCATTATACAACGAATATGAAGGGAATTTCGAAGCAGGCGAACCTGTGTATAAAAAATTACCTATGCCGAAATCCAAAAAGGTTTTACATAGATTTGGAAAAAAGAAGTTATAGACCTTCAATTTAATGTTTGTGAATGACTTTAACAATTCTATTTTAATCAACAGACTTGATAAATAATTTTTAATAACATTTATAAAATTAATAACTACAATATCTCAAGCAAAAAAACTGTATATAATGATTTAAGTTCTCAAATGATTAATTAAAAAAACTTAAATTAATATGATCAAAACTAGAGCTGCAATAATTTTCGAATTACTAAATTACTCAGTAATAGGTAAATTCGGTAATTTGATTACCAAGTAGTTAAATTACTCGGTAATCTAATTACTAAATTATCATCATGACAAAACTTAAAAATCAAACTCTACAATTTTTTTATATTTTATTTTGAAATGTTATTATTTTGTGTTATTTTTTGTTAAACACATATTAATTCGGCATATTTTTAAAAATATTACCAAAACCCCAAAACAAAAAACAATAAAAATTATTATTGATAAAAATATGATAGCAGTTAAAATACTCATTGTGGATAAAATGGTAAAATTAAACCTTTTCAATAGTCCATATTAAAATTGTGTATTTCTTTCCTTTTAATAAATGTTATTTATTATGATTGTTTAAATCCTTTTATTGAAAATGTTATTACTGAAAACTACTAGAGAGAAATTATAGAATATCAATTTTACGAAAATAATTATTTTAGACTTTGTATATCAAATTAATTTTTTACAATTATTAACTCTTGAATGAAAGCAATGATCATTTTTTGCTATCATGTGTATAAGAAACAAGTTAAAATTGATAATTGTTGTAAATGGATATATTCTCTTTATTTTATTGTGTTACTTTATATATAATGTTTGATGTCTCATGATTATATTTAAAAATATAAGCATTTTAATTATTATAACAGAGTTTCTTAATAAAAATGTAACAGTTAATAATGCAATTATTAGACCAATTCATATTATAAAATATAAACAATTTATAAAAGAATTGTGTATTTATTAAACTGGAGCATACCTGTCGTTGTGTTATCAAAATACAATTCTTATTATGTTGTATAATTAAACAAAATTAATTAAAAGACGTTTTAAAAACATAAGTAATGTTTGATTACATGCAATTATCAATATAAGCTGTACTTTATTTTTTATCGCTGTAGTTATACAATAAAATAAATGGTATTAATTTTAATGTTTATTTGTTTGTTTTTTAATAATAATATAGTAATTATACAAAAGTGACAAATTAAATCAAAAAATTTAATGTCATTATAATTTATGATTAAATTCAAAGATTGAATTATCAATAAATAGACATGAACACAATTGAATATTTGTTGTTTGATAATTTAAATTGATATCTTGATAGCTTCTTTAAATGTAATTAAAAACTCTATTTTAATGAGTTGAAAAAATAATATATTATATTGTCAATAGAGTATCAAAAATAAATACAATAATTAATTATAAATATGTTTCTAATTTTATGAGCAAATGTTGTTATATTTCAATAATTGAACAATGTGAAACTGAATATCATTAATAATATAAAAATTCAATCAAAACACAAAGTTTTTGTTTTGGTTGTAAATTAATAGAGACACAATATTTTAAATCAACTGTTTTTTAATATTAGTATTTGTATTTAATAATACCAACAATGTAAACAACTATCAAATTGTAATTGTAATACAACATTTACTCGATAAATATTAACTAATAAAATATTTCGCATTGGTTACTGTTATTTATTATATTGTCATTTTTACTGAATAAATATAATTGTCAGGCTGATTTTTGTAAATTATTTTTAATTAAAATTGATTTTAAAAGTTGTATTTGATAATGTGAATATTATATGTATTTAACACGATGAAGAAGTGGACTATTTTATTTAAAATATTATTAATTTGTTTTTTACCACTTGGCCAAAATAAATATTGAATTGATTGTTATTGTTCTTTTTTATTTTTTGATAACACGTAG